GTGGGGCTTTCTGCTCCCGGGCACGTGCCCAAATCCTACTTCCTGGCCTTTCAGTGACTAATTATTTTAAGAAACCAAGAAACCATGAGAAGAGACATTTCCACGCTACCCACTTGCTCCTTAGAATGAACAATAGCACAATTCCTGCCCATGAGCACATTCGTCCTCCCTCACGTCACCACACAAGGAAACTTCCCCCTCACTGCACAAGCCCACTGCTGGCATCCTCCACCTCCCACAGACCCAGGCCCCTTCATGAATCAGAGATGACAGCTGACAGCCTGAGACAGATGCCAACACTTCCTGTGGGCTGCAAACGGGGGACAGATGTGGCCCCACATGGGAGACCAGAGCCAGAGTCAGGGAGGTGGTAGGGGGCTTCTTCAGAGCCCCCGACCCTGGCTTCATCCTCTGGCTTTCCCTCATAGCAAACCTCTGGCTGCTGTGAAACGAAAAACCACAGGTAGATTATAAATGCATCTGGATGAGATTTTATACCATCGGATACTGTGGCTCCTGCTAGAGTCTAGGGTTTAGTCATCTGAGGCCCTCTGATCTAAATCTCCCTGCATGTGTGCCTGTCACATTGGAGCCCTACACACACACACACACACACACACGCCCAGCCTCTGCTTCCACCCTCGCGTCTCCTTCTCTGACTGTCTCCCTCTGGGAAGGGCCCTGTGGCAACACCAGGCCCACCCAGGTGGTCCGGACGACCTTCCACTTCAGATGCTCAGCAGTCAGTCACGCTGCACAGCTCTTGCGGCCGCGACAGGTGCTGCGGCCCGTTCCCAGGATGAGGGTCTGGGCTGTCTGTCACCCAGTCACGGTCCCCCGGGAATTTCGGAGCACAGGTCGCTGTCACACATGCTGCCTGCTCTGAGGGGTAGAGTGCACCTGCTGAAATGCAGGCTGTAAACAACGCGCCGCCCAGTGCCCACAGCCAGGAGAGGGGAGCGGGCTCTACTGGGGTTAGGGTCACTGCGGCGGGGGTTGTGGGGGGGGGGGCGGTTCCTGACGGAGGGTTTCTGTCCCAGAAGGAAAAACAAAAGCTCTCCCACTGATATGCAACCTGACTATTGAAACCACATCCAGAATGAGTTCAACTTGCATCATGTTCGTCATGTTCGCGCTTCCTGAGCCCTTTCCCGTGGGTCTCTGTGCTGCCCTCCCCCAACAGCGACTCTGTGCAGCTGGCGGTGCCCCCGGCCTGCCCCCCGGTTTCA